GGCTATAGTCAGCAAGAGCCTTGGAGTTCACTATTTAGGCACCACTTTGACCCTTTCTGCCAAGTTCTTAAAAAATATTGTTAAAGAATACCAGGGAACTGTTTACTCAAACCATTATTGTTTCCCGAACACAGATGCAAGAAAAAGTTTTATTAAGAAGATAAACAGCTGCTACTGTACACGGTTTAGATGGCAACAAAAGCATCTAAGGGCCATAAAGGGAATAGTAAGGGAATTAAAAAGCATTTTTATGCATGAAGATGGCTAACATCTGTACGTTCATTAAAGTGGTATCAACTATGCTTTTAATTAAAAGTTAGTGACAGAAACTTAAATATGATTAATGAAGCCCAGCAGCCTAGCAGAAGTCTGCTCCATCAAAAGCAGCACAAGCTGCGTTCCCAGCCCCGGCTGCTCATTTCTTCCCCTCTCAGAGATGCTGCCACAACCAGAACACACTGCAAGGACCACAAAGCAGAAATCCTGAGACAAACAACAAGCCAGGACAAGTCTGCAACAGTGCTTTCATGCCTGTTTATTCTGTATATCGCGAGGAGCAGCTGCAATTACCGAGCAGCGCACGGCCACAGCAAGGAGCTGGTTACCTGTCACGATAACCAGGCACTCAGAGATCCATCGGAGGCACGAGGTCTGCCACAGGAAAAGGAGGAAAAGGGGGAAAAGGGCTGCCCTACAAACAGCAGTCTTCTATTCAACAGTGGGTGGGGGGAAAACCCCTCACCCAGAAGCCAGTGCTGAACTCTGAAAGGCAGCCAGTCGTCTTGTGTTACCCGGAGCACAAAGCAGTCATGACAAAAATAAACCAGGCGATAAAAATACAGCACGAGCAAAAAGATGTGGGCACGGAACAGGAATCGGTGCCATGGGGGGGGATAAGGAGTCCTACAGCCACTGATACTCTCACATGCACTCAAACATCCGCCTATTCAAGTCCTGATGTCCACAAAGACTGATCTATATCCACTTTCCTGTTCAGAGCTGAGCACTCACGGATTATGTCTTCAAAGACTGAAGACGCTTCCTGACATCAAATTTCCACTTAGCAGCTTCCAGACGCACAGAACACAAAGATGCAAGATCTCACTTTAGAGCAGGTACCAACACACAAAGAAACTTTTTTTTTTTCTTAAACACACAGTTTAAGTAAACTTCACCTCAGTCATGGCATTTAAACGTGAAATGTGACAGGACTGACTTGTGTAGCTGACTGAGCAGGGTGCTCCTCTGAGGGGCTCCCTGAATGATGCTCCCAGCCCCAGGCTGAGCACCTCAGTGCATTCTGTGCTTCTGCTCCTCCAGTGGAACAGGAGAGGCTGGAGAGGACGTGAAGGAAGGGATTTAATCCTCCCACAGCTGGGCAAAAAGCTGGAGCTGTTCACACTGTAGGCATGGAGCAGCAGCACGCTCCAGGATGGAGCCCCGGGTTGTTTGGGAACACCAGGCAGGACCCCTTCTGTCAAGGGGTGGGGAGGCCAGGAGAAAGGACAGCCGGGCCCAGCAGAAACAATCTCCTCTTGCAGCCCATCATCCAGCTAAGGAATGGGCATTCTGCTCTTTCCAAAGGGAAGAATCGCTTCCTCCCACTCCCGCAAAGAAAAGCATTGCCTGAGGAGCACGGCCAGCTCCCAGTCACCACCCAGCAGTGCCCTGACACAGAGGGGTCTCGAGCCCCGAAAGCCCACAGGGCTGTCCCGCAGCTATGATCAGTCACCGGCATTTATTCTTTGAGGCTGCTGCGGGTCTCACCCTCTTCTCCCACAGCGATGGAGGCACCCCCGGGCAGCCCCTCCCCACGGCCAGGCCCCGTCCGAGGCCACCGCACGGCAAAACCTCCACCGGGGGCTTCTGCCAGAGCCCAATTCGGTGAAATTCAAGGCTCGGAGATGCGGTACCCGAGGAAGGGGCCCAGGACGGAGCTCTCCCGGGGGCTGGCTCCGACCCCGAGCCGTGACCGCCCCGAACGCTCCGGGTGCCGCGAGCCGGCGGGCAGGGTGCTCTGTCCGTCCGTCCGCTCGTCCCCGGCTGTCCCCGCGGGCACGGAGCGGTGCCTGCCGCCCGCAGCCCGCCAGCGCAGGGAGAGCCCAGCACCGGCCGTGCCACACGCCGGACCCCGGCAGCGCGGGGCTGCGGTCCCGCGTCCCTGGCGTGCGGTGCCGGGCGCTGCCATGGCCGCGGGGCCCTCCCGGTCACCGACTGCTCCATCGGGAAACTTTTACCGCCGCATCCCGTGGGAGGACGGACAGCCCGGCCCCGCTCAGGCCGTGGCACCCTCCAGGTGCCGGCCGGGACCCACCGCGGCCCGCGGGGGCCGTTCCGCGGTCCCGGTAGGGGCCCCCGCGCCGCACCGGCCCCTCCGCGGAGCCGCAGCCGCCCCGAGGGCCCGGCCACCCCTGCTCAGCTCCC